GGATATGTCGCATGTAAAAAACGTCGACTGAATATCAAGAGATAAAATATATATCGACAGCATAAAATATTCTAGGCATCTTACTAGATTTTGGTGTGCCATATGTACGTACATACACCCGTAGATCGAGTTACCGCCTGAAATTGGTATGCTGCCAATGCACCGAAAGATGGCGTTGACTACTAAATGAAACACCAATGATGAATGGCATATACATTCGCGACTATATCCATCCATGAAAAGCACCGCGACATGGAAATCGTCATTGTCAGCAGAAAGTAGTGATCCTCTGAAACGCCATCCGTCGCAAAAGTAGAGAACGGTCGGTAAGTAAGCACCGTAAGCTTCCTTTGAGCATACATGGGCTGTCTGTAATCGCAATCAGCAGCATTCGATAAGTCAACCTGTGTGTTGGTGGTACGGTCCAGTCGTAAAGACTCAAATTGACCAACCGTTAGCAATTGGAACCGAAATTACTGACTGTATCTTGTTATGGCAACCGACGAGTAGTAATAAAGTCCTACTGTACTTTGTCGTGTCATCATGGTTTTTGCGGGGATAACAGTGAGCAAGAGAAAAGACGCTCATGGGATAACGCATCTAAATGACCAGCAGTTCCTTTGGCCGACTATAAATAGGCTAGACATGTCTGTTTTTTTCTTTTTTTTCCCTTATGCATCGCCATTTTGATATGTCATTTATACTACATATATCGAAGCATATCGTTTCAATGGGTAGTTCATTCATAGGTGTATGCGACTCCCAGGCTCGTCTGTCACCATATCCCATAAGATGCTCAGTCTACTCACCCCTTTAGTCAACGTCATAACTGTTTCTAGAAAGCCTGGCAGGTAAGGAAATTAAAAGGAAAATCGAGTAAGTTTCTTGCATCGAGCGTATAAGGTGCAGAGCCGTTGAGCGCAAGCCTTGCAGCGCGCAGTTGTCATAGGGCGCAAGTCGTAGAGCAGGTATGTAGGCAAGTCCAATTGGAGTGCAAGTGCAATTCCATGCACATCGAAACTATGAATCGTACGTAAGAGACTTCGTAATACGAGCCTAAACCATCTCACCGATAGAAGGCGCGTGGCGCTATGCGCCTTGCGCCTTACATCCGGTGCAAGAAATCAAGTCAATCGAAAACTCCATCGGATCACAGCCAACTGGTGGACGCTCACATTTTTACATGTAGCATATTACGCATAGAGTGAAGGAAAGATTCGCTCAGAAGAATGTACATGGAATGTTCAGCGCTGTCGTCTTAACGGTGCAGGCGTTGAAAGAAGGGGTTGCCAGTCAAAGTGTAAAGCCGAGAATCCCCTATATAAATGTCAAGTTCGTCTTTCGGCTTTTCGGCTCTAACCCCTTCCGTCGCTCGCCCCTACCACAATATACCCTCTTGTTTCTTGAGCTCTCGCTTTCCCTTCGTGTCAGCGCACGACGTTCGGGTCCCGCTCCCGGATTTCTTCATCAATATCTATCTATCGGGCTACGAGCGCTCCCGAGTACATATAACGTAACATGGGAACTTTTGGCAAACCGCGAAGCAGGCTGAGAGAAGGAACAACCAACAAGGTCTGACTAACGGACTTGACTCCATTGACTAAGAGTGATGGTTCTCGTTAATAGGAAACAGGCTCGTACAGTTAGGTGTATCGTGCACGAAACAGCAATTTAGGCGCTAGAGAATGTGACCTCTTGTGGGCCACGCCGATTCTCGAGCGACCCTTAGAGAACTCGCAATAACTGTTCGGCATTAAGCGAGTAACGTCTGAGAAAATATAAGGTGACTATATGTATATATATATGTATACGCCAGGTGACGGAGACTGGCGATCGCCGAAACCGCACGTCATCATCACTCGCATTCTGCAGTCATAAACGCATCGCGACAGGATCCCCGTTGCAAGTCGTCTTACGGTTCAAAGGCTTTAATTGCTTTTTTATCTTTTCTTTTGTATTTTATTTGAAAATTCAAGCTTCAAGTGAACTCGAGAAAGGAATAAGGTATATATGACGATCCATTCAAGATTCTTTTTCTTAGTTTTTCGTTTTTTATTGTTTACAACGATTCGCCTGTCACGCGTGTGCTCTTGGGACGAAATACGGGATCGATTTTTGAATTTTGGTCAAATGATTGACGGGACGTGGCTGGCGTCCAGGCACCGAGAGCTTGAGTGACAGCGACTGTTGGGCCATTGCTGGGGGTGGATTTCGCGACAAAGAAGCTAGCCGAGTCGATTACGAGGTACGCTTCGTTGGAAACGCTACCTTGGCAACGTAACGACTACTGCGATACCTATCAATGCGCTCGTGTTCTCTCCCTTTGTCGGAAAGAGCGCAGGGATAATCAAGAAGAAGAGCAAACGAAGATACCGTCGCACGACCATCGCCTTCTGGTCGCAGTAGGCGCGCCAATTCAGGATGCGTTGGAGTCTTTCGAGCGATGCATGAAATCTTTGTAAATTCTTATAAGATTGAGAAAAACGTGTGGGGGGAAGGTGCGCGTACGCAATCGTATGCGCAGCGCGTCTGTTAATGTGCGTAAGAAAGGCGTGGAGGAGAGTGTGAGAGTGCCTTCGGTAGAAGTCGAGAGAGAGTCGGGAGATGGATGGGAAGTGGATGGGAGAGGGAGAGGGAGAGGGAGAGGGAGAGGGAGAGGAATGGAGACGACCGTGAGGGAGAAGCGCGCGGTAGCTAAAGATAACGCCTTGTATTCGATCGATCGAATCCGCAGTGCTTTTGTTCGCATCCATTCCGCGCTCTATCCGATTTAACTACGGTCCTCCGGCTCGGGCCGAACTGGAACGAGAAGGGCCGAGTCTCTCGTCTCTCGTGAGAGAATTCTCTTTATCTTGTTTAAGCCAAAGTGCACCGAGAGCGAGCCTGGCTCCCCGACCTTGCGTATACAAACACAGAGCGTCGTGGCGAATGCGC